AAAATACAAGAGATTTGTCTGAGCTGTTTTTATTCAGACTTTCAGACCAGGAATTTTTATCTCATAATCAATGATTTCAGAAATTTCTAGACTGGGAGCCTCTACTTCTACCAACAAAAGGCACTGTCCAATTATAGGTCTGTGAATTTTAAACTGATTTGAACATAGCTCAGCTCAGCTTTCCATATATTATCTCGTTTCCACAAGAGTAGTACTTTGAAAGTGTTTGTATTTTGAATGTGGATCAATATTACTTTTGTCATAAATAGATATGTGGCATTATCTAACTTCAGTGAAATAATAAATGAGTTTTGAAATAACATATCTAATAAGTAAGTGCAGATTCTGTATGATTAAGCAGAAAGACTGCAGAATTTGTTAACATTCTTTTAACCCAAAGGTTTTTTTAACAAAACCTTTTCTCTTTTAACAAAAGAGAAAAAATGGCAGAATTAATTGTTCTTTTTCCAGTTCATCAAGTGATTCACAAACCTTATGTCCCTGGATATATTGAGCAGCATAGTGTAATTCAATGCCAAGGTCATAAGACATTATCAGGTTTTCAATCTTCGTCAGCAGAAAGTCTGTAAAGGATTGCCAAAATATCGTAAAAATATGGCTTATTCTAACCTTGATTAAATAAACCAACTTTACATTTTATTTCCTAAAATCTTAATCTTTAGTTTATTCAAATATTGTTGCACAATTTGACCTCTCTTCAATTTTTCTTTGTCCCACTGCATAGGGGTCTTCAAGGCTTTAACAAGTCTCTTTATAAATCCAATAATAAAGACACTGTCCAAACCATTCCCATGGTTTATCATTTGCATTTCCCTTTAATTTTTAAAATTTCAGGCAACTTTCTTTGTTTAACTAGTAAAGAGTCCTTATCTGGATCATTCTCTTGGCCTGCCACTTGTATTTCTACTTTACATACCTTCTCTATACTGAAATCCATTTTTTTAAAATCCGATATTTCTGATTCACTATTTCATATCTGTCATGCTTTCATTAATATCCTTTAAACATAGAAGCAGGCGTCATTACTTGTGATAATTGTAGTTAATAATTTCTAGCTCCATTCTTCAAAGAGCTCCTTTAATATTTTAAATGCTGTAGTTCTTCATGTCATTTTGTAAATTCCAATCTAAGACAAAACCACAGGCAAGGGGTTTTGGCTTTTGGCCTGGAATCCTTAGCCCTCTTTAAATCATACAGTCTCTATTCAAAGTTTTGTTCAGAAATATAGACTCACCAAATGTCTTTTCAACTGACATTACAAAGATCTTTAATAGCCTTAAGATAGCTAAACAGGCAATTTCTGAAAGTACTTAGAAGCAAGGTTTGCAAATGAATTATCCTTTAAAAAATTCTGCTGTGATTGTGAGCTTAATTATTGATCCCTATGCCTCCTTCCAGCACTCAAATCTGTGGGGGACCACTGCCTTGCAATCTCCTTGTGAAGAGAACCTGTCCAGAGTATATATGGGTGATCTCTCATCCTCTCCTTATCCAGAGAGGTTCCAATGGTTCATGTGTCTTTCCCATGGCCACTATCTCTGCTCTCCATGGAGACCTGTTTAGTTTTCCATGTCTCCACTAGAAATCTTTTCCTTGTTTCTGTTTCTAAATTCAGTTACTTAATATAAATCTGTATTAGGAATGATTGGATGGATAGTTGATTGGATACACAATAATAGTGAAAAACTCAATTGGTTCATTAGTAACTACATTTTTATAGATTGAGCTCATTATGGCTCTTGCAGATATCAAGAAAAAATTGGGGAACTCTGTACAGGGAAGGCATTTTAGCATTTCAGTCCTTCATTTAGTCTTACAAAAGCATCAAGACAAGTTACAATTTATAAGGACTGGCCTTGTACTGTAGTTGAGAGGAATTTGTTGGTAGTCTTCAAAATAATGCCAATTGAAATATTTAGCTAAAGATGTCAGTCAAGAATATAAGCACCAAACTACCACTTACATTCTGCTTGTTTTGATTGCTGTTAAAAATCATAAATGAGTGTGTGTCTATGTGTGTCAGGGCAAAACACTGATGAAGCATGGATGTTAAGTTCATATGATCTTCTAGTATGAAGATGGTGAGTAGGAGTCATATATTATATGTAAAATTCCAGAGTTGTCACAAAATTCTGGACAACAATATATATTCTATTGTTTGTAAAAATGAGACTGGTTTAACCATGGCATTGAAAAGGCTGCTTGTCCCCCACAAGTCATTAATGATGTTAATCTGCTGTTTCATAATGTTTAAGGTCTTTATTACGCAAATACAAAATCCACACTAATGTGCTGAACCCTAATCTATCCTGAATCAATACAGCCATCACCAACATGATGTGGAAAAGAAGTGATGATAGGTTGAAGGTATCTTGAAATTTAAAAATCTGAATGGTCAAATGAGGATCTATAAAATTTCAGTTAGGACTGCTGCAATATAGATAACTAAACTAAACTAAAATGTGATTGATTTGTTTATGGTTACTGTAATTTCCTAGCAGAAACTGTGCCATTTAATCACCAGATTATAGGTAAACAACCCATAAGTTGTCTACCTAACCAAAAAAAATAATGGCAGATTCCCCCATTTGTGAGATTGCACAATCCATATTTTTATTTACATAATCTGAATTGTTAAAATGAAGTAGAAAATAATGCTAGCTCTCAGGAAAGATGGAAAGTTATTATCATTCAGGAAAAAGAAATTGTTTAGGTTGTTGGAACTCTCATGGAAAATATCAGGGTTTGTATCAGCAAATACTATAATCTGTACTGTTAGTCATGAAATGGGTGTATAAACAAAGTGGTGCAATATACACTGATACTTGAGGGATGTGCAAACATGTAGCTAGATGCATAGCAGGAAAAGCGAGTAACAGGAAGGTGCATCACATCATTACTTCATCTCTGCCTCTTGCAGCAACGCTCCTTTCTTTCTTTTCTGTCAATATTTTGGCCTGAGGTATCAGTAAAGAAACATGAACATCTTCATTTACTCTATGTAAATATAGACACCAGATGCTCAAGGAGAAATGGTTCTTTCAAGTACTATTTTTCCTGTAATGGTACTCCAACTTCAACTCATCACTGTGTTTGAACATTTCCAATAGGCAGGAATCATTCTGTACCTCCATTTCTAGAAGATAAAGCAAGAAGTAACTAGTGATATCCTAAAATCCACCAGTGAACTATAAAACTTCCTCAACAATTCATAATTGAACTCACCTCATGGATGCCAGTAAGACTCATTTATGAGTAAGCATGCTTGGGATTCTAACTTCTGTCACGTGACTTCCTTGAGTATTTCTTAGAATGAAAGAGAAGACACTCCCCCTTTCTTATGCTCTTGCCACGGCCAATTCAAGGCTTGTCATAAAGTATCTCTGAAAGGGCAGTTCTTCACACTTGACAGACTAGCATGAAATGTAAGTATATTACTGTGCTTTTTTTCCCACATGCTGTTGTACTAGATTTATACTTAATTTGGATTTCTTTCAATCTCAGAAAGCAAAAGCACACACAAAAGAAATACAGTAACTTTTTCTTTCTTTTGCTAGAGATCTTAAAATTACTTTTCATTGATAATAAATGAAGATGTCCAAATGTTATATTTATATGGAAAACAATCTAATTTTCTTTATTTAAAAAAAAAATTGGAATTTTCAGCCACCTTTTGAAAGACTGTTATTCTTTAGTCATTCAATCATGTCTAATTTTTTATGACAAAAAGGTACATTTCAGCAGGATAGTCTTGTAACATTAAATCACTTTGTCTTCTGAGATCTCCTTTTCAATTGCCTTCAGCTTTCCTATCATTAGCATATTCTCCAGTGGCTGTTGTCTTCATTGTCTTCAAGACTTTTGCTTCTTTATTAATGTTGCCATGGTAGATTTTAGCTTTGCTCCATCTTTTCTTAAATAATTTGTTCTTGCAGCTCAAGGTACAGTATTCTTAAAATTGTCTCGAGTTTCACAATCCCAAAGCATCATTTTTTTTCTTCATTCTGCCCTTCTCATCATTCAGTTTTCACAGTGATAAGTTACAATTGGAAAAAACAGTCACAACAATATGTAGTTTTGTAATCAATATGATATCCCTGCAACCAATCAATCAATTTTTTGTTTATGTGTTCAGTAAAGAAACAGACATCTGTTTATTCCATGGATACAGTCACCATCTCTTTAAAAGTTTGAGTCTAAGAAGATAAAGTCTGTTATTTCAACTTCTTCTCTGATTCTTTGCATGGAATTGGCACCACCCACCCACAAGCACACACACACACACACATATACACAGAGAGAGAGAGAAAGAGAGAGAGAGAGAGAGAGAGAGAGAGAGAGAGAGGGAGAGAGAGAGAAAGAGAGAGACTGCTTTTTTGCACTTTTCTACTTTGAACAAGAGATTCCTTATGTCTTTCTTACTTACAGCCATCAAAGTGGTATCATCAGAATATCTACTAATACACTGAATTACTCATTTTAATTCTAATTTCTATTTCTTGTAGGTCTGCATTTGTCATTACACATTCCACATGTAAGTTAAATAAATACACTGAAAGTATAGAAACTTGGTAAATTCTTAAATAAGTCTTTTCTCCTTTCCATTCAATCCTTATACTCAATTTCTTTGCATTGCTTACTTAAATAGAAATCCATGCCACTTCATATTCTCTAGAACTCACATTTTGTTTAGCAAATTTTCCTACATATATATACACATATATTTTTTTATTCAGGTCTCTGACCACAATATACGGTAACTACCAACAACAGGTAGAACAGAATACAACTGTAGTTCATTGATATAATCAAAGTAGACCTAATTTTGCTGAGAGAGTAATGATATTTGCCCACTGAGGAAACTGAGTTCTACTAGTCTGATATTAATAATTCTGTATAGAATAAATTAAGGTTGCCAGTTTATTCTATACATTATTAATTGGGGAGTAATACAATTCTTATAAAAAAATAAAGCAAGATATAGACATTGGTTTTATTTTATTCTATTTCAACAGACAACCATTTAATTCTTTTACATTTCAGTGTATTTGTCTTTGTATCATTTTAAATGATGCAACAAATTTTATTTCCAGTTTCTCTAGACATGTTTATCACTCTAATTCACTTCATCTATTCAACATATAATCATAATGAATATTGCTCTGATCATATCTGACTATTTTGTTTTTTCTATTCTGTTGTTATTTCAGGTGTTTGTAATCTACATTGTGGTCTTCTTTTGCTGACTGACTAGACTAGAGCTTCCATTTTTGCTTGTAATATAAGTAGATAATTTGATTTTGGGTTTGTCTGTCTAGTGGAGATCTTGTGTAATTTTTTAGGTTGATAGAGGAAAATATTTGCTAAAAATATTGCATCTTTTTTTGCCAGAACTGTATTTTTCTCTTGTTTCCTTTCATATACCAAGGCCAAATGTTCCCATTACTCCAGTAGCTATTTTACTTCCAACTTTAGCATTCCAGTGTCCTGTATTTATTATGGCATCTTTTCTGGAGTTGTGTCAATAAGATGTTGCGAGTTATAATGGAATTGTTCAGCTTCCACTTCCTTTGTATCTGTGGTTAGAGCATATACATAGATCACTGTAACAGTGATTAGCTAGCCTTCAACTTGAATTGAGATCATCTATCTTTTGGGAACTGTATCCAAGCATTTGTACATATTTATTTATATATTTACACATTTATATAACCAAACATCTATCCAGGAAACTCTGGATGGCTATCAGACATTTTTAAAAAAATCATTCAAATTTCACAAAAAAAAAGAAGAAAGAAACATTTGCATACTTTTTTAGTAATAAGAACCAGTTGGGTTTTTTTCTATGATTTTGAAGTCTGCAGTAGAGGATCTGATGGGATCTGCAGAGGGTTCCTTTGATGGGAATTCCAATATATTTCAGTTCCTTAGTTCCTAGAATGTTGATATGCGGCCTTGGCATTTCTGCCTGGACTACATCAAGTTTTCCTTGATTGATATTCTGGCATTCTACTTACCAATGATATATTTGCTTTTGAAACATCAAACTGTCCTAATGCCTTTGGGCACATCACATCTAGATGTCCGCTCAGCTTTAATGTAACTGTAAAATTATCAGTGCTAGTTGCCCTCTATTTTTCCTTGGTTGACTGTTCAATACTTCCCAACACAGAGGGTGGCTAATTTCCTAGTATCAGGCTGGCATTGCCTTGGCTGTAAATGTCTGTTTGGTTTCTTAACAGAGTACTGTTAAGTATTTGAAATAATATTCAAATAACATTTGGAAAAAAATCTTGAAAATAAAGATCCTTGATTGGAGCACTGAAATGCTTTTTTGAAAATAACATGCTCTGCTTTGAATAAGCCAGTTTATTGAGACAAGAGACCTCCTATCAAATCTGGTACCAGAGCAGTGCTCCAAGAAGCTCAGCAGCTCAGGTCAAGTCTCTCTGCAGTTGGAACATCAGCACTCCTCCTTTTCCCCAGCTATCACTTGCTGTAAATAAAACAAAAACAAAACAAAACAGGACTTCCTGGGGTGAGTTTTTAAACATGAAGACTCCTCCAAAACAAAGGCTGCCCCATCCACAGTTAGCAGGTATGCAAATGTGCTTGTCATGATTTGAAATGATGAAAAAAATATTGGTGATACTGGGGCTAAGATGCTATTAGGAGGCCCTGATGTCCTACTGTATTGATTTTATTTGTTACAATTATTTGTATCCTGCTTTTCAAAGCAATGTTCTTCCCGATACAATACAAGCCATTACAAATAGAAACATAATATGATCCCTTTCATGGGGCAGTTTATGATCCCACACATAGAGGAAGGAATATATTCGACTTTTATTTCCATGATTGTAAGTGTTCGTGGAAGGGATAGGTGGGGAAAGGGACAAATGACAAAACATACACGGATATGTCACAATACTTTTCTGTGACTTACCTGCTTGCTTTTTGTGCTCTTCTTAAATGCCTATTTAAATGTTCTTTCCATTTTCACTTTTCTTATAGCATTTATTACTTGTTGGTTTGTTTATCAGACTTTAGACGCCTCTTACATCATAGACTCTGGGAACTTACACTCCTAAAAATATAAACAAACAAACAAACAGTTCCCACATAAAAAAACATAAACTAGGAACAACATACTGGATGAAATGAAATATAAAGCATCACCAAGCCTAACCATCTAATTTCCCAAAGTCCAGCCAAAGTGGATTGAACAGAAACAAGCCATTTCTACAAAAATCACATAAATCAATTCTTCCTTCCTGGCTTACAATGTTAAGACATTCTACATAAGAAACCACTGGCTGAGACCTAACAGAGAGCATCTCCATATTCTCTATCAATAGAATAACCAATTTTTCTCATTTTCTAGGGAGTACTGAAAGCTACGGGTAGTGAGTTCAGTTATTTTCCCAATCTATGCAAACTACCATTGCAGCACTCTTTGGACAAAAAGTCTTGAAGGTAAATGAGCACAAAACTGTATTTTAAAGTACAAAGATAAAATGTATTGACTTCTCCAATCAAGGATGTCTAACAGTCACTGAGAGGGGCAGAATTTTGTAATATTCTTTTCCTTTTCCATCTTTCAATTTCAGAAAAGTTGAATGTAATGCTTACGACAAAACCTTTCTGTTCTAACCTTTGTCTTTGCGACCTCTTTACATCCTGAAAAAATTCTTCTTGTACCTCTGATGAGTTAATCTTCTGATGTTATCTGACCATAATTATCTATTACAACATTATGTTTAAATTAATAAATCATCAGGAATGAATTGTAGAGCTGCAGTGTCCCACACCCCAATCTACCACATTTGCAGACTAAAACTGGAGTGAACTTCAACAGTTTTGAAGGGAACACATCTGGGCAAAATATTCCCCACATAGAAAATATTTCAAATCCCAACAGCTGGAGATAAAACTTTTCTTCCATTATTCTTGTACTAAAGAGCTCAGAACGACACCTCACCAAAAATATTGTTGGGGTCCTAAAGTTTATATAACGGATAAGGTTATATAACCAAGTAAATTTGGCATAAAATAATTATCATTACTGTTCTTGTAATGGGATATGGTGACCCCCTCCCCAATTACATATTATCATCAGTGGGTTGCAACAGTGATCAATTTGATATCTGCTGTTCCAGTGGCATGGTATCCATAAAGTAAAGGTTCCCCTCGCACATATGTGCTAGTGGTTCCTGACTCTAGGGGGCGGTGCTCATCTCCGTTTCAAAGCCAAAGAGCCGGCACTGTCTGAAGATGTCTCCATGGTCATGTGGCCAGCATGACTAAACACCAAAAGCGCACGGAACACTGTTACCTTCCCACCAAAAGTGATCCCTGTTTTTCTACTTGCATTTTTTACGTGTTTTCGAACAGCTAGATTGGCAGAAGCTGGGACAAGTAATGGGAGCTCACGCCGTTACATGGTACTAGGGATTTGAACTGCTGAACTGCCGACCTTTCGATTGACAAACTCAATGTCTTAGCCACTGAACCACCGCGTCCCTATGGTATCCATGGGCCATATCAAATCAGTGAATGGCATTTCACTGGAAGAGATTCTTGGTTTCCCACCTTCTAGGACCTTGGAATAGCATGATTAGGTTAAGAAACCAAATCCAAAATTGCTGCTACACTAGTTATGGGTCTGCACATTACAAGACACAGAGCTTTGATTACATTTGGTCACTTTTTCCATCTTGTCTTTTTTTTTTGACACCCTCTACCTTGACACCATCATTAGGCACCTGAAAAGCAGTGCAAGTTTGTCATAGTGGTTAACACATAAACTTTAGGAACAGTAGTAATTCAGTTTATTTTTTGTGATGGGAGGGAAAATGGCATGTGTACATACGACTCAGAGGAGGCAAAGTGAAGCACTGAGTTACTAATAGGTGCTTCAGTAAAGCCTTGTCATTGATCTTATCTGATCAAGGAAATGGTGAAACAAACAAGGAATTTGAAGATGATATAATTTCTTAAACGTTTTGTTACCATGTGTCAGACAATCTTGTAAAGGTTCTCTGGCTCCTGGATTTTTATGATTCTAGGCATAGTGATGTTCATTTGCTGATGACTTAAACCTGTGTCATTTTGTTTGTTTCGTCTGGAAAACCTTTCCTGGTTCATGAAAATAAATAAATAGACCTATTAAAAGTATGCTTCATTATAAGAACTAGGAAGTTTATCTGGAATTTCACAACAATTTGGCTACGGTTGCTACAATATTATCTTCCTAGAAGCACAGAGACACCATACCACTCAACACATTTTAAATTTATTTTCTTGCAGCTATTATTTCGGCTGACAAATATCTATGGATTCTATAGTATGTAAAACAGTGGGCTGTGCCAATTTTGTTGACTGTCTTTCTCTTGACCGACACAATACTGTCTCGCACATACATATACACCGAGGAAGTACCCCAAAGGGCAATCAGACTGATTCATTTTATAAAGAAGGGATGGCAACATTTGGATTTTGTAGCTTAGAAAAGCAACAGAGGGGCATGATAAAAGTATAATGTAGGAGTAGAAATGATTGATAGAAAAAAAGATTTTTCAGTTGAAGCTAAATGAGGATCATGCAGGACTGAAAAAAGGAACCTCCTTATTTACACAGCACTTAAGTAAACTATGCAATGTGTTGCCATTCAATTTCTGAAAGTTGTGGCTACAATGGCTACTAGATCTATGGATCCATAATGTCTCCCAAATCCCAGCAGTTGCTGCCAATGGAAGTAGTATATTATCCTCAAAACCTACTTGTCAGCTTTTTAAATGCAGGAAGGTGCTGGGCCTTTAAGGAAGGAAGAAAAGTAACCTAAATAGGTATCTGAGCTGATCCATCTGAACTCTTATGTTCTGATATTCACTCAGAATCCTGTCCCTGTCCCCATTCTTTCACCCTTTTAATCAAAGATCCTGTTTTAATTTGGTCTTATTGCCAACACCATTCTTTTACTCCTCCCAAATTATTTTAACGCTTTTACCATCAATTTCCATGAGAAACTTCTTTCTCCTGTTCGCATGCCCTCCCTCACCTGTTTCTCTCTCACTCCATCTGTTTACCTTTTATCCCTCATACACAGCATTGGTAACAAGGTATTATTGCTCACAGGTCCACTGGGGAAAAAAAGAACAAGTCATGTTCTCAACTGAAGATTCTTCTCGTTGTATGCTCCATAACGTACAGAGGGCCTGTTTCTCTGACAACTTACTATGGGTACAAAATAAAGATCAAATGTGTGTGTCTGCTGTTGTAATACTATGAGCTTTACTATTAAGCAACCCTCATGTATGAAGTGGAAAATTCACTCCTTCAACTCATGGAACCCAGGGTCTGTTTAGTATTAATGGGTGCTAGATTCCAGGTGGCTCAATCACAAGCCTCATGCAGAGTAAACACTGCCATTAAAATGTAATAATACCAAAGGAGGAAGATGAGTTGCTAGCAATAGCAGAACTGACTCATCCAGGATGTTCCCACAATTCCTCGTGGCCAATGATAACTCCTATTTGGACCTCACAAAAGGGATCCAAAATAGTCCATGGAAGGAAGTACCTTGCTGTCCACATTCAAAAGTAAGATTTGACATAGAGTCAGAAGAGCAAATGATACAAAACAAGTGTGGAGACCAGACAGGAAGAGAGCAGGTGAGATGTTTCATTAGAAAAATTCCAACTGGAGCTGCAGTGTATATTGAGCATGCTGCTTCACTATGATTTTTTCCCAAGGCATCTATGGCCTGTATATGTAAGTCTAACATATTTATTTCCATACGTGGCTTATTTCTTATAGATTTTTTAATAGATATAACCATTGGTGGGTTTTTGGTTTTTTTTTGGTAATTCTAAATATAAAATTATATGAATTTGGAGTTATCACAATGCATCTCTGGATCTACATGTGGCATAAACTGATATTTGGCTTAACAATTTTGGTGATGTTGGATGAGAAGCATATTATTATGGTGAGGATTAGACAATGTATCTGAAAAGTAGGAGTATGAGAAATAAACATGTTCTAATTTGAGGAATTATGAGGAAATGGTTTCTCCAGATTAAAAAAAAAAGGGGTGTGTGTGAACCTGTAGGTACTAAGCACAAAGAACCAAGTAATTCTTTCCAGGAGTTTTCTATGTTGAGTGATGTGATGAAGTGTATCTACAGAGGGGGGAAATGGTGTGATGAACTACTATGAAGTGGCAATTTCCCAGAAAGATAGAAGCACATTGAGGGACGGGGGGGAGAACAGAAAGAGCACAGTCCAGAGCTGAATCAAAGAAAGAGGAAGAGATTGAGCATAATTATTCCCTAGAATCTTCCCAGTTTATAGAGTTATAGTAGTATAGGTTTAGTTTGGTAAGTTTCTATCTATATTGTGTAAGTAAACTATTGGCTGCATTGTTCTATGTCATTCTTGGGCGTGGCTTGACAGTATTGGTATTCTAGAAATTAATATTTTTGCTTATAAAACTAGCTTCTGGTATCACAGAACACAGAAAGACAAATCATTACCATGAATTATGTTAAGTTTCTAGATGCAAGGAGCACTTTGAAATAATCTAATGGTTTCCAACTGGCAGCACAAATTTGATAAATTAAGTCCTCTTTATTTATTACATTTAATTTTTTTTTTCTTTATGGACTCAAGGCAGTATAGGTTAGGGCAGGGGTGAAATCTAAAATTTGTTACTACCGGTTCTGTGGGAGTGGCTTGGTGGTGGGGTAATGTGACTGGGTGGGCATGGCCAACTTTTTTTTTTTTTTTTTACTTTTAAAAGCATTTTTTCTACAACCTCTTCCCTTTTTTTGCAGCTCAGATGATGTTATAAAATGAATGTCAACCCCACAGAAGTCAAATCTGTTCTGAAGAGTTTGCTATCTATCTATATGCAAGACAGGGAAAAGAAACTGAATTATACAAATCCATCTCTTGTACAGCAGGAAGAAATCTCAGCTTCCCTATACATCCTGATTATTATTGGGTTTTTTGGCTTTCTCCTTTTCTCTATGATGCTCAGCAATATTGTTCTCAGGCAGCGGGAAAACTACATGGACTATCTCTTTCAAAATAAATTTCCAGGAAAGAGGAGAATGACTTCCTGCAACAGTATAATGGTTAATGTTGGAAAGGGTGTTACAACAGAAGCTAACACAGATTGCCAATGCCAAAAGACTGACAGTTGCCCAATGGCAGAAATTCCAAGCATGGAATTAGTGCAGAAAAATGTATGAAGGTGCAGTATCATGACCTATTTTTAACTGGTGGATGATTTTGAAGTATTAGATCTGATTGCACTAACTCGGGCCATTCCTGGCAATCCTCATTTGGAGCAACCTTCCTATCTACAGTGCAAGAAAAAACTTGTTTATTTCTAAACTGCATTATAGTTTTCCTATTTTACACTCCATTAAGTTTCCACTAATAGTTTAGTAATCAAGTTCAAACTTGTATGATTTCTTAATATTCATGCTTATATGCACTTTTGTGATGTGTCTTACATGGACTAAGTAAGCCATCTTCCTTCTTTTTCTTAATTGTGTGTTTTGTGAAGACTTTGGTTCTTGTAACTGTGTTATGTTGTGGAGACCTCCTCACAATCTAAAAGAAATATATAAAAGATGAAAGAGTCAAATCAAGCAAATGTTCATTTTGGCTAGAAATCGAACTCTCCTGCCCTGGTTCATTATTGGCCCATTATCCATAAATAGAAAATTCAAAACAAAGGGGTATACCTGGAACCCAGGGCTGCAAGTATCCCCTGAAAATCAGCAGAATCTGAAAATTGTCAAATTGTCATGTTTAATGTGACAAAACAAGGAACTTTATTAAAATCCATGACTAGAGAATAGGCAGGTTAATTATACTCAAGTTTAATTAAGTTTAAATGGAAACAAACTGAAGTCAAGTTTAGATTCTAACTCACCATTCAAAAGCTAACTGTGACCCTTGTCAAGGAAAAGTTATGCATTCCTGGCATTATATAATAAATCCAGGACATGTGTTTAGTCTACCAGACATTGTCAAAACAAAGATGGATTGAGAAGTTGATCATTCTTTACTGTACCCCACAAATCTTGTAACACACTATTTCATTTGAGTGACTGCTTATACATCATAAAGAAGGGGGAGGGGAACCATTTGGAAAAGAAAGGATTATAATTAGGCATCATTTTTCTCATAATATAGATCGGCTTTCTTTCAACATACTGAGGATAATGGGACTTATAGTCCAACATACAGGTAGTCCTCAACTTATGACCACAATTGAGCCCAAAATTTCTGTATTGAGAAATTTGTTCAGTGAGTTTTGCCCCATTTTACAACTTTTCTTGACACATTTGTTAAATGAATCATTGTGGTTGTTAAATTAATAACCACGGTTGTTAAATGGCTTCCCCATTGACTTTGCTTGTTAGGTTGCAAAAGGGGACTGTCATAAATGTGAGTCAGTTGTCAACCATCTGAATGTAAATCACATGACCATGGGGATGCTACAACAGTCATAAGTGTGAAAAATGGTCATAAGTCACTTTTTTCAGTGCTGTTGTTACTTCAAAAGGTCACTAACAAACTGTTGTAAGTCAAGGGCTACATGTATCTGCTATGCTGGTCGGAAGGTGGGAAAGAAGGTTCTTTCAGGCATTTTTCTCCAGGAGTAAAATAAAAGTCAGCTGAAATCTGCTGTTACCCTCACTATTTATCACTAATTTTATTTACTAAATTGTTTAAATCCTATAGCCAAGTTCTCTGGATGGTTTCAATACAATAAAAACAAAAGCATATTCAGTTCAGTAAAATGCAAAATAAAAACACCTATAAACTATGCAGCTGAAAGCTGGTTGGTCAAAGACTAAAACAATAGAAATTAAAATGGGATTAAAACATACTTAAAACCCAGGTAAAAGGCAGAGAAAATGAAAAGGTTTCCACCTGGAGTGAAAATGATGCTGGGAGGGGCGCAAGGGGAGGGGGCAGGCAAGCCTCTCTGAGGAAGAAGAAATTCCATTAATGGAGTTCCACCAGAGAAAAACCTCTCTCTCTTTTAAAGTCTGGGTAAGTACATATGGGAAATGGTGCTCCTGATCCTAAATTGTTTAACAAGTTAAAGATTAAAAACAAGCATTTTGAATCTGATCCTAAAATGGACCTGCAGTCAGTATAGATAGCAAAGAACCATCATAATCAATTTATTGACCAGTCCCCAGAAACAGTCTAGCTGCCATATTTTGAATTAAACTGATGTTTCTGAACTGTTTTTAAAGGCAGCCTGTTGTATAACACTATAATCCAATCTGAAGTTACCCGAGTGTGAATCACTGTTGTGAGACTGTCTCTGTCCAGGTAAAATTGCAGTTGATAAATCATAAATGGCACTCCATGCCACTGAGCCAATCTGGATTTGTAATAATGATGGACCTAGGTGTATCCGTCCCCTTCAAATTATGAACATGCTCCTTTAGAGGCCAGATGCTTGCAGGACACCTCTTAGCTGAACTGATGCATCACCCATGAGCAATGTTTTCAGTGTTGCATGGACTGAATCCCAGTTTATTGGCCTTCATCCAGTCCATTATCCTGCCCAAGAACTGATTCAGAATACTGACTACCTCATCTGCATTAGATGAAAAGGAGAAGCAGAACTAGGTGTCTTCTGCATATTGATGTCACCTTAGCCCACTTCCCTAGATGACCTCTGCCAGCCTGAAACTGGATTGAAATGCATCTAGATGAATCAGTCTCAATCAAAAGAGCCTGAAGTGGATGAGCCAGCATCCATTTAAGAACCTTGCTGGGAAAAGGAGTATTGGCCACAGGCATATAAGTTTTCATTCTCCAAGTCCAGATTTGGATTCTTTAGAAATGGTTTAGAAATTTTGGGTTCTGAACACGTCATTAAACAAAGACAACCTGTGTAGGTGCACCAAAGTAAGGCTGTAAGACACCCCAACATTCCATCTTCAATCAGCCTGATGACCTTTGACATTCCATCTCCTTAACAACAGACTTCCCCAGCTTTGTTGCCACTCTTGAAGGGGCCATTTTGCCTAACAATAGAATTAACTTCAGATATACAAAGACCTGCCTAGTTTCCCCTAAGGGGGCAGCAAATTAGATCCCTAGGATTTCCTACCATATAGCTCTCAAACATCTTTGCTTTCTCATTTTTCAGAATTCCTCATTCTTGGAAAACAGGCACCCAATGACATGCAATAAACATGGTTCTTTCTCCTCAGTGTTGGGTTCTGAACTTCTGAATTTTCCACAACAGTTAATATTCTGGCCGCTTTTGTGCTTCACAAATGCCATTCTTCTATCTTGGAAATATTTATTTTCTTTGATGTTCACTTTTAGACTTTTATAAGAAATTAAGATGTACCAAGGAGTCATTCACTGCACTTAGTTGAAAAAATCAACTTAGCTGGAAAAATTATTCTGACCACACACTCCATCCCCAAAAGAAAACTAGACAGAAGAAAAAGAAGCGTTGCTTAGTAACAGCTGACCTTCAGGCAAATCTTCAGATACGTTCTTGCTTTTCAGCAGGGGTGTTTGCAGATGTTTACACCATCAACCCACTCATTTCTTACCAACTGTTACTTCTATTCTTATTAGAAAATGTTAAGATTGTGCCTCATTCCTACCCCACCCCTTGCATAGCAATCCAGATGTAATGGTTTGGGGTATAAAAATGTGGCTTCCTGTCAGGATAAGTCATGCTGTTTGTTTCAATGTACTTTTTTTCAGATGCACTTCATTTTTCCCATTACATTGGACAACATTTTTTTTCAAGTTTGTTTTTTTAATTTGGTGATTAGGATAGACCCATACCGTAAATATAATTTCAGAATGACTTATCATACAGGAATCTTGAAAAATATGAAATTACCTTTGAATGACTATAATGTATTTAATTATGTAAAGTTTCTGACATATGGTGCATGAATTCAACAGGGCTAAAAGTGTTTTGCTGCTGAATTTCATTTCTGTTGTCTCCAATGCGTCTCACTGCAACATCCAACAATGGTCAGCCAGCATTGATGGATTCCTGTTGCCCCGGTATCATTTTTCTTTTGTGGCCATGTCCTGGTGAAACCTTTCACCATGCTTGTCACAGATAGCGCATAGAAAGAAATCCAAGTGTGAATGCAGAAAAGGAATCTTCAGTGACATGTTGCACTAAATGGTATTGTATGTTGTAAGAAGTTTGACAACAGGGTGAATGTAGCTCTGTGGTTATCAAGAAAATTCTCAACAACATTTTTGAATGCAATTTTCTCTGGCCCCACTAACAGATCTTTAAACTGCTCATCATTGATGATGTACTGTATCTGATCTGTAGACCAACAAAAATGCCCTCCTTAATCTTGGCATCAATTATTCTTGAAAACATTTGTCTCAAATAACAAAAACTTTTATTTTTCATCAGTCCAAGATTTACGTAAAGCAGAAACAAAAGTATCTTTGTCACATCATCAAATGGTTCGTGTGCCATATTTTTCTGTCCCAGAACCAAATTATTTTGGAGTGGCCATTTCTTTTTAATATAACGTGACTCTTTCATGTTTGTTCCATTCGTCTATGCAAGAACAGTACTTGGCATATGCAAGTTGTATTCTATGCAGCAGAGCCATTACCTTTAGACCTTCACAGATATTCTAGTTGTACTTGGTGTATTGGATGTGCTTTAACAGTAGTTCCATATTTTTGTATATTTCTTTTTTGTGTGCAGCATAGTCAAGAGATACTGAAAGATGTATATTGCCATTATGTAAAAATGTGCAGAAGACTTCTCGGCTGGACTATTGTAATGCTCTTTACATGGGGCTTCCCTTGAGGAGCACTCGGAGGCTCCAGCTGGTCCAGAATGCAGCTGCGCAAGTAATAATGGGGGCAACTCATCGCTCCCATGTAACACCCATCTTGCACGAGCTGCACTGGCTCCCGGTGGTCTTCCAGGTGCGCTTCAAGGTGTTGGTTACCACCTTTAAAGCACTCCATGGCTTAGGATCTGGTTATCTACAGCAGTGGTCCCCAACCTTTTTATCGCCGCGGCCCGCTGAGCGCGCGCAGGGGTGGGGGCACGGCCCAGGAGCTTTTGCGCACGGCCCATTGCGCACGGCCCAGGAGCCTTTGCGCTGCAGCGTTCATGTCCCCCGGCCATTGCGCGGCCCGGTGCCAGGTACTCCACGGCCCGGCACCGGTCCGCGGACCGGGGGTTGGGGACCACTGATCTACAGGACCGCATTCTGCTACCGATTGCCTCCCACCGACCAATACGCTCCCACAGAAAGGGCCTCCTGAGAGTGCCGTCAGCCAAACAGTGTAGGCTGGCGACCCCCAGGGGGAGAGCCTTCTCTGTGGGGGCCCCGATCCTATGGAATGAACTGCCCCCAGACATATGAAGGATCCCCAACCTCCGTGCCTTCTGGCGCGCTCTGAAGACCTTATTATTCCAGCAAGCTGGACTGACAGGATAAAGGTTTTTTAAATTGGGTTTTGATAGGGGTTTTAAAATGATCTTAGTTGGATGTTTTAAATTTAGCCATTATTTTAATAAGCTTTTAATTTTTGTTGTACATTGTTTTTACCATGGCTGTTCACTATCCTGAGTCCCTCGAGAGAAGGGTGGTA